CTCAATGTAGTCCTGGTTTAGTTCTGTTTTAGTCCTGGTTGGATTCAGATTGGGTCTAGTCCTTCTGGTACTTTAAAAAAAACAAACTCTTGAGTTTATAGTGCTATGAACAAACTGTTCTTCTATCTACTGGAAAATGTATGAATCAACGTTTAGTAGTTTGGCATTCAGCAGCATCAAGTCTCCCCTTTTTCTTATTGCTGTTTAAGTGGATTATTGTGCCCTCTTGTGGACATTTGCTAACACGTACACCTGTTGATTTTTTTTTATCCCTCAAGTCTAAACCCAAACCTTTAACTTTTCTATAAATCCTCATACATTAAAAATAAATAAAAATAAATCAATAAGTCAATAATACAAATTATATGTATATTTTTTTATTATAGACTTGTCCAGTTAACAGTCTGAAGTTGTATAATAACCAAAGTAAATATTTAACACATTTGCTTGGTTATTCTCAGACTCAGAAGCTCCAGTTTTACTTTGCTTTATCCAGCTTTAGACCGGTCCTTGTTTTGTGTTGTGTGTTTTTTGTTTTTTTTACATGCCCTGGGTTAGTTTAGAGAAGTAAAAATGCAAATCTAAACATACTTTGTTATTGTGAGAAGTTTTTGAACAACTTAATTTTGCATAGTAATCTTTCTATAGTGAATTATTCTAATGACATCTCGTCTCGTCCCTTAGGCCCACCTGATTGGCTGACCTCCCGCCCCTCGCACCATGTGACTGGATCACGTGACCTCAGTGGTGTAGGTTTGATTCCTCCACCAGGACGTCCGGTCTTTCAATTTTTAAAACGGCTTCCGACTTTTACGGTGGACCTACCAACAAACCCACAAGCCCACTGTCCTCACTGTACCTTGTGCTCCGGGCCAGACATTTACACACTTCACACCCAGAACAACAACCCTGGTGCTGTCGTGAGGCCGCCGTTTAGTTTTTTTTTTGTTTTTTTGTTTTTCTCAAAGACTTGAATGAATAAATAAAAGCGAGATTCACATTTCGGTGCTGGCATTTGACTCAACCTGAGCGGTAGCAGCGACCTTTTGACCTCCATGCGACCCGGAAGTAAATAAATAATTAAAACACTGTGGATGGAGGAGGACTGGCCAATCAGAAGCCTCCTTTCGCTGTGTGGTCGTTGTGTACCTGTTTTATGAATGAGAGAGCGCGAGAGTGGAGTATGCGTGTATATATGTACAGTTGAATAATTTTAAGCCTGTTGGATGCTGTTTGGATTTCCTACTCTTTGATTTTGTCTGGTAGCCTCTGTTTTTCTACTGTTGTTGATCTGATATTAAACCTGTAGCTGGTGCCTCCATCTTGTGTCTTAATTTACTACATTTTAATTAAAAGCTGTGTGAAGTCGACGCCTATTCACAAGTTATTACAATTCCTGCTGAGGTGTCCCTTGGCAAGACATGTCACTCACATCGTTACTACAGGCTGCTCAGGTCCTGGGAAGAGCTTCTGACACCAAATAGACATTCTAGTATTTTTAAAGTAATAAACATCAAAACACAAGAGCAGTGTAGATCGAGTTCAACTTTTCAGGGGGATTCGTCACCATAGAGATTGTATTGCTTTGCCTTAAAAGTTTTACACAACCGTACGGCATTCATTTTGTTTATCTCCGTGGAAACGAGCAGGGGCAGCCGTCCAGGGCATGTCACAGGTTAGATCTGTGGAAAAACAAGGGTTTGTTGTGGCCCGTTTTACACAGATTTCTTATTTAGACACAATTGTTCAAGGTTGTACTAGTAATTTTGGTTAAATATTATAGAACTTTATTTAGAAGTTCACCCATCTGTGAGACTTTGGTTTCATGTCCTGCTTCAAATCAAATCAAATAAATTCAATTCATGCTTGAGCTCACAGACCGGAGCTCAGACTTGAATTTAGAGACGTCAGGTCGTACAGAGACATTAAAGTCATAAAGCAGATGTTACACCGGTGTGACATTTCACAGTCTGACGTATTACACACTTGTTGTCAGTGCTGGCAGGTCTGGCTCTTCCATTACCACTTTAACCTCTACAGAAAATGTTGCATAAGTTGTTTAGCTTTTTAGTTCAGAGTTCGGAAGATCGTTCCACTCGGTTCTGTTTCATTATAGAAAAAGGCTGTTTGTAGTTTTGCATTCTGGTATGGTACACTGCCCCCTGGTGGAGGCGCGTGTGGCTCTGGTTTCCACTACAGATGTAAACTGAACGAAGTGCTCAAGAGGTGCAGGTGCAGAGTTATTCAGGACTCTATAAATCTTTCAAATTCATGTTAGTGTCATCTGCATTACGGATGAAACCAGATCACCCAAAGGAAACCCACTCAGGACACCACTGGCTCCACATTGTTCAACCCAAGACCAACCCAAAACATGCACACTGCACAAAAGGCTAAAATCTTCTTGTGTAAATGGTGGTTCTTTCCAAACCTATCTCAAGTAATGACAGGTTGCCCCAGCAGCACTGAAGGATGGGTCAAATGCAGAAGACAAATTCCCCACAGGGACAACAAAATGCACTTCAACCTTAAAGTTCTGGCTCCTAAAAGCTAAGTGTAAAATGCGTAAACTATCTTCTATCTTCTTTTTGTCTTCGCAAAATCACGTCTAACCACAAAGGGGTGCTGTGGACTACTGCACCAGTAAAAGCACTCACTCCTGTCTACTGATTTTGGGTCCAGTGTTTTGAAGACGGTTCAAATTGTCTTATGCAAACTGACCTCAATGACATAAGATCTTTGAGTTCGATCTACAGGAAGCAGCGGGTAGTTCTTGTTCCTCCTGCCGTTTTTTATCTCAGACGTTAAGGCGTAGACAAATGATGCAACTTTTACACAACAAATGTAAAAGATCATGATAAGGAAATAGATTAAATACAGTAGAATGTGTTGTTTTGTTTTGGGGGTTTTTGACATTTTAAAAGTGCAGACAGGAGCAAGTTGTGAAATAGACTCAATATGCCGACCTTTTATTGTATTATATAAATTTGTCATATTGAAACTAAGCAAATAGTAAACTGGATTCAGAAATATAATAAGGAAGTAATTCAGAATTGATGAAGGTAAAATCTGCAAGTAAAAAGCTCTGAGCAATGTGGAAGGTTTAATTCAAGTAAGGCCAAATATCAGATCTTTTGTGATAATGTCTTCAAATACTACCCAACAGTTCCTACTATATTGTCTGCTCTTATATTAGAGATTTCTCCATAAATTCACTCTGCTTTGGTTAAATAATATCATTCTATAAATTTTTACTATTTTGTGGCATTCTTTTTTTTAACTTGAGATATATTTTAAGTATTTAGGCCATTCTTTTGTACTTTATTCAGTCTTAAATTCACAAACTATAACGCTTAATGTGCTTTGGTGATATGGTGCAACATAAAACCATTAATAAAAGTCAAATCTAAACTATGACCAAATAAAAAACATGGATTAAATGAATTGTTATTTGAATATACTGGTATCTGAACATAAATACAAAATAAAATAGGAAGTGTAACAGTGCAAAATTAGCAGTGCAAATGGAAGTAGTTCTACAACGGGCTCTGTTGTTCTGGGCCCCAGGGGTTTAGGGGCCCAGAATTGGCTTCTGGGGGGCCCATGTGAGGCTTCTTGCCCTGGGCCCTCACAAGCCTGATGCTAATTCAACACTGTTTAATGTTGTTTTCACATTTCACGAATAAAACATGCATTTTACAATTAGAAACAGCAGTGGTGGAAGGCACAGTACAAGTACAAATATAAAAGTACAATACTGAAGTACAAATTTTACGTACCTGTACTTCATTTAAGTAAGGTACCAAGTAAAAGTGGATACTTTCTTCTTTTACTTCACTACATTTGAGAATGTGTATTTGTACTTTCTACTCCTCTACCTTTTAGATCTGGATTAAAAAGTAAAAAGTATTATTGAGAGACTTGATTTTTTTTAATTTATTTATTTTTTTTTAGCATACTTAATTTGAGTTAACTTTCCAACTTTGAACAAACCAAATACACAAAAGTGGCTAGAAAAATTAGGAAATCAATTGAATCACTTAGAATGAGCAAAATTCTTTTTCAAAATCACTGCATTTCGTCCTTTAACTGTTCTGAAAATCACTGGAAAATACTTTTACTTTTTACTCTTAAACTACAGTTGTAAACAGGTATTTCAGTACTTTTACTTAAGTCGATTTTTTCATGTGAGATTTTTACTTTTACTTGAGTACCTTTTTACTTTTATATCTGTATTTTTATTTCCAGTGTTGATGAGTAACAGTTTACATGTACCGGGGTTACGTAATCAGAGTACAAATTATGAGTAACTGTACTCAGTTACAGTTACTGTTTCAATGAGAGGTAATTAGATTACAGTTACTTTGTTGAAATAAATGGATTACATGCTGGTATTTTCCAGTTTTCACATTTTGGGCTATATCCCCCCCTTTTTTTTTTTTCTTTCAGTAATTTCACTCATTGCCGGACACTAAACCACATCTAAACCAGGACAAAACCAGGACTAAAAACAGGACAAAACCAGGACAAAACCAGAACTAAAACCAGGACTAAACCAGATCTAAACCAGGACTAAAACAGGATTTAACAGGATTTAACAGGACTAAATCATGCTGTGTGGACGTGTCTCCTCCTTTTCTATCAATAATATTTTTAATTTGGTTAAGTAAAGTCTGGGCTTTTTATTTTCTTTTAGCAGATAAAACATCTTATGTTACGATATCCTCGTCTTTGCTTCTCTACAGAAAATCAAGTAATCCAAAGTATTCAGATTACGTTACTCACCTAAAGTAATTTAAAGGATTACGTTACAAACTACATTTTGGGGTGTGTAACCTATAATCTGTAGGGGAATACATTTTAAAAGTAACCTTCCCAACACTGTTTACTTCTAACAAAATTGTACTTCATCGTCTCTGACAGACTTTATGATCGCTTTATTTTGAAAGTGCATTTCCTGTGTTTTACTTGCACTTCCGCTTGCGTCTGCCTCATTTCTCCCTCTTGACTCTCTCGTCCGCGGCTGCAGCTGGCGGCTCTTCACGGGGACAGATCATCTCCTGCCCGGGGTTTGCATGCTCTCACCGGGGTCCTACCTTCTCCCAGACCCGCTGTGGATCCGCGGAGCTAAAGAAGGATTCAGAAAACCCAGGTGAGTCAAGAAAAATATCGCGAAATGGAACTTAGATCGTCGGCGCTTGCATGTGTGTGAGATAAGGAGAAGCTAACGGTGTCATAAATGCAAAGGCAAAGCGGCTTTTCACTGGCTCTGTATTTTCACGAATATATAACTACAGCTTTAATTAAGTGTTTTTCTATTTGTGTCTTTCTTGTGTGGTAATTGAGTTGTTTATTCCTGATGTTTTCGTGGATGTTTCTGATAAGGTGGCCAGTGTATAACGCACCAGGCTTCATGGTATTTTGTCGTAATTCTCCGGTAAATGCGTTTATTTAATTATCTTTGATCAATAAACGTGTGAGTTGTTTAGAAGAGACACTTACAGTAATGAATTTAACACTCAGCTGACTTTTACAGGCCAAATCAATATGAATAACCTTGTAGTAATATTATTATTTGTAGTAGTAGCAGATGTAAAGTGGAAAACCCTTAAACACAGTCAAGTCCAAATTCTCATGTGCTATAAACAGTGTTGGGAAGGTGACTTTTAAAATGTATTCCCCTACAGATTACAGATTACATACACCAAAATGTAGTTTGTAACATAATCCATTAAGGTACTTAAAGTGAGTAACGTAATCTGAATACTTTGGATTACTTGATTTGCTGTAGAAAAGCAAAGACTAGGATCTCTTCACATAAAATGTTTTGTCTGCTAAAAGAAAATGAAAAGCCCAAACTTTACTTAACTGTATTAAAAATATTATTGATAGAAGACGAGGAGACACGTCCAGTTTTAGTCTTGGTTTTAGATCTGGTTTTAGACCTGGTTTTAGACCTAGTTTAGACCTGGTTTTAAACCTGGTTTTAGACCTGGTTTAGACCTAGTTTAGACCTGGTTTTAGACCTGGTTTAGACCTAGTTTTGACCAAGTTTAGACCTGGTTTTAGACCTGGTTTAGACCTGGTTTAGACCTAGTTTAGACCAAGTTTAGACCTGGTTTTAGACCTGGTTTAGACCAAGTTTAGACCTGGTTTAGACCTAGTTTAGACCTGGTTTAGACCAAGTTTAGACCTGGTTTAGACCTGGTTTAGACCTGGTTTAGACCTGGTTTAGACCTAGTTTAGACCAAGTTTAGACCTGGTTTTAGACCTGGTTTAGACCTGGTTTAGACCTAGTTTAGACCTGGTTTAGACCAAGTTTAGACCTGGTTTAGTCCTGGTTTTAGACCTGTATTTAGACCTGGTTTTAGACCTGGTTTAGTGTCCGGCAATGAGTGGAATTACAAAAAAAAAAAAAAAAGGGGGGGGGGGATATAGCCCAAAATGTGAAAACAGGAAAATACTGCCATGTAATCCATTTATTTCAACAAAGTAACTGTAATCCAATTACCACTCACTGAAACAGTAACTGTAACTGAATACAGTTACTCATAATTTGTACTCTGATTACGCAACTGCGGTACATGTAATCTGTTACTCCCCAACACTGCCTATAAAGGTCCTATATTATGCATCTTTGATTCTTGTGAGCTTTAAACCATTTTAGAATGTTGTTACCTATTCAAAAACAGACCTGGAGTTGTGTTTTGTTTCATGCACATGTTTGAGTAACTCTTTATTAGTAGTTTTAAAGTGACCAGCTCCTTGTACCTTTAGTTCAGAAGAGATTGGCAGTTCCAAGGTTGAAATAATCAGAATTCTAGTGAAGGTGAGTGGGGTTTAAAAGCCACATGACATCACACGGTGGAACAGAGTGAAAAACTCAGCCTAAATCTGTGGAGTTTGTGTGTGTTAAAGGTGCTCTGTATATCTTTCACACACTTTCACCACCTGCTTGTCTTCACGGAACACCTGTAATTAAATAAATGTAACATAGATTAGTTTAATGCCATACTGTGAAACTTTTCAGGTAAAGTAATAATATCTCCATGGACACAAGCTTTCCCTAATAGGAAGGTTACACAGTGTACCTTTTTTAACACGTGTGAATGAAACAATGATGAGCAAACAATATTATAACATCAATTTAAAAAGTGTAATATGTGCCCTTAAAGTAGAAGACAAATATGAATACTGTTTCCTACACTGTTTCCTAGTACTCTTTCCTGCAGAAATAGTAGTTTTGCATGAACTCCCCCTGCAGGTGTAGTCTTGTGAGTGCAGTTTGGGTCAGAAACACCGAGATACAGAATTGTTTAGAGAGCTTTTGCCACGGCCCCTTTTGAGTTGGCCAGTCGAACAGCAGGACATATATTTCATCGACTACAGTACTGTACCAGTCCTAGCCCTGGTGCAGTACAGTGTACAGTAGGTTTGGGTGGTAATACGGTATTACAGTGTCCCGCGGTATCAAAAAGTAGCAACTGTATCAGTTTCATTACCGTCATTAAAAAGCAATTTGCAGCGCATAAGAACCTAATATAATATTATTTATATATTATATTTATTGATGCCTACATTTGTTTGCTCAGCACAAATGAATGTGTGGTTGTATTTTCAGTTTAATTCTATCATGATTTAAAACTAATATAACCCTAACCCATAACTAAGTATCTATAATCTTTCTTTTAACTGCGTGGGAAGATGACATTTTGTTCTGTTGTGTCGTGACGCTCATAAGGGAGACCAAAACAAGACGGCAAGTCAGTCCACGAGTGACTTGATCCCGGGTAAATAAACCAACTGATGTCTCAGGATACACTGTAGCCTATAGCCTGTGCCATAGCATAATATTTTTGTGACCGCATTTGCTATTTGTTGTTCCTTTATTATTGGTGTTTTTATTATTACCGTATTTTTTGGATTATAAGGCACAATGTCAGTAATGTTGAATTCTCTCATCTAGTTTCATACATAAAGCACACTGGATTATAAGGCGCATTAAGTGAAACAAACAGTCGACACTTGAGTCTGATCCTTAGTCCAGGCGTCCATCGTCCATTGTCAGATCGTGGTGTAACTCGCCCGGCGTTGTCTCTCTGTCTTGGTGAATGTGGATTATGAATGTGAATGTGGGTGGATCATTTAAGTTTGTTTTTTTATTTCCTACAAGGACAACTCAAATATACATTATGTAATAATGTGTTTAATGCAGCTTTGTGCGCATTTGTTTACATTTTACAGAAACAAAACTTAAAAACACATGACTCATTTGCATAAACTATAAGTGCTGATAAAAACAGCTCGCTCCTTGTGCGTTGATGTGGTTCAGCTTCTGTCGGACTAAGGGACACGACTCAGTGGATTAGGTGTGTTCTCTCTGTGACAGAGATTGTGCTGCTGTTGGTGAGTCTGTTCTGTGAGTGTGTCGTGTTGGAGATTGTTCATGTGAAACTTTTCAGAGATTATAAATCTGCAGGTCATACGCACAGACCGTACAGTGGTGCAGCTCTGTAGTTTACCAAAGTCATACTAAAATATTTTGGTCATACAGTAATACTGTATACCCTGGTAAAATGCTGAGAAGGTTTAACTGTATTAAAATTTGGATACCGCCCAACCCTAGTGTACAGTACAATGTACAGTACAGTGTACAGTACAGTATACAGTGTATAGTACAGTGTACAGTACAGTACTGTGTACACTGAGCCCTCTCTCTCCACCTCCTCTCAATAGACTCCAAACTGTTAAAAGTGCCTGTTTGGAACGTGCCACCACCGCTTACCCTCTGTGTACTCCTCTGTGTATTCCTCTGTGTACTCCTCTGTGTACTCCTCTGTGTACTCCTCTGTGTACTCCTCTGTGTACTCCTCTGTGTACTCCACTGCTCCAAAACAAAATGCTTCATTCAGAGTACAACCCCCTACACCCCTCCCCTCTCTCTCTCTTTCCTCTCTCTCTATTTCTGCCTCCTCTTCCCGCTCTTGTCTCTCTACTTCTCTCTCTTTCATTCTTCTCATCTGTCTCTCCCCTCTCTTGGTCATTGTTTCTCCATATCCCTTTCTTTGTCTCTCCCTATCTCTCTATCCTCTCTCTCTCTCTAGCCCCCTCTCTCTTCTCTCTCTGTCTCTCTCTGTCCCTGTGTTTCTCTCTCAGGATGTAGTGCACGTTCAGTGAGAGTGGAGCAGCTCTGTGCGTCTCTGCTGTGAACAGCCTCTTTAACCCCGGACGTGCGGCTCTGTCCTGGATCAGGGGCTCACTGTTAATGGGACCAAATTCCTCTGGTTCATTTGAATAAAAACCGAGAGGAGGACGAATAAAACATGAGCAAATTATGTAACTTCACCATCGTACATCAATATAGCTGCTAAAGGTGCACTGTGGAACTTTTCTGGTGTCATGTATTCTATAAATAAGCCTTTACCAATGTTATATCAGTGTTCTCTCTCATTATCTTACTCAAAGTTGTATTTTGCTTGTTCTTGCATGTTTGGGTCAATCTGTATTGTCCTGCATTTGAACTTTGAGTGCTTTGAAAATTGCTGTTTTCACCTACCCCCTGTCAGAGCCAAACCTTGTGTTAGTCTACTAACTATTTGATTTAAATTACAAGGAACTATAAGCAGAAAAGAGCAGGTAGAGAGTGGATTATCTGAAGACTCGGGAGTGAATCTTGTGTTTAATTTAGGGATGGGCATGATTAGTCAATCGATAATTGATCATTAAGAATTTCATTTTAATCGACAAACTGAATGTAGGTTGCTGTGTGTAGCGTGACCAAACAGGGGTCTGTACATGTGTCTCTGCACTCAAAAGGAGCAAACAGAAACAGTCGGTCAGCCTGCAACGTACCGAAGCACAAATGTGTTTTTAACGATGACTTGTACAAGAAATTCCACGCTTTCCGTTGCGTTCGGGACAAGTGTGAGTCCATGTGCACAGTGTATAAAGCAGCACATATGTTTCAGTGTCCAGTGGGAAAAAGTTTTACCAGGTGAGAGTCGTGCAATGTCGATGACGAGTCCCCACCTCCCTCCCCCCGTACGGTGTCCTGGTTTTGACAAACGCAAATCTGGTCACACTAACCTGTATTCACCTGAGTCATGTCTTTTAATCCAACAGAAATTGACCGCATCAGCGACACAAGAGCTG